GGGTGAGGGTGGGGTGGGGGTGAGGATGAAAGGAATGCAGAGAAATAGGAAGAAAAAAAGGGAAGAGACGAAGGGGGAGAGGAGGGGAGGGGGAGGAAATGTAGAGAAAGAGGAAGAGGTGGAAGGTGAAAACAAAGGATTAAGAATGAGAAAAGGTGGAAAAAGAGGAAGAGAAAAAGAATGGAAAGAAAGAGGAAGGAAAAGAAAGGAAGAAGAAAAGACAAAGGGAAGGTAAGAAGAGGAAAGAAAGATATATGGATGCACAAAGAAAGAGCGAGCGAGAGAGAGAGAGAGAGAGAGAGAGAGAGAGAGAGAGAGAGAGAGAGAGAGAGAGAGAAATAGACAGATAGACGAGAGAGAGAAACATTTTGAAAATGAAATATCCAGGAATGATTATGACGAAGCGCTTATTTCCTTGTTTGTGTATTTATTCATATAATGACTTATTCATAATTTCTTTAATTACTTTTTCATCTATTGGTTTGTTCGTTGTTTTATTAATTCAATTGCCCTTTTGCAAATGAATTGATGCATCCATTACATATACATTTATCTACGTATGTCCTTATTAATGAATCTATCTATCCACTCATTCATAAAGTCTTCCTCTGAGAAAAGAGCTGTTTTAGTGTTCATGGAGTCTCCAAATATATATCTACCTGTTGTGTATACTGTAAGAACACATTTTCAAAGTATGAGTATGCTTTATCTTCCGTCTTTATACAAGTAATTATTTTTCGGGAAAAAAGTCTCAACTTAGAAAGGCGAACTCGGTACTCGCTGCCTCCTGGTTGGCGGTTTCTCAACCAATCAGCGAACAGAAAAGGCGCTCCCTCGACGTGATTGGCTGATGCGCTTTCGAAATATATCAAATTTTATGCCATCATTTTAATGAATGTTATGTTACAAAGAAACTTGCCATGAAGTTTGTTCCCCATTTCATACAAAAATAATGCCCAAAAAAAGGGCCTCGTGTACTAAAAACTGTTAATATAACCATATACATCCATATACTTCCATATACTCACACACAAACCGATTAACTCCCCCTCACCCTTTTTACACAAACACACTCGTGCTAACTGCCTCTTTCTTTTCCCCATTAACAGGCGGTGACATTGGAATCATGAGCCAGCTGGACGACCTTCTCACCCAGCTGGGGACCGGCAGGTGGAGCATCCTGCACATCCTGATCTTCAGCTACTGTGGGTAAACCAGGAAGTGGTGGAGGAGGGGGAGGAGGTGGAGGGTGAAAGAGGAGGAGGTGGAAGAGGAGGAGGTGGAAGAGGAGGAGGAGGGGGAGGTGGTGGAAGAGGAGGAGGAGGTGGTGGGTGGAAGAGAAGGAGGAGGAGGAGATGGAGGAGGACTAGGAGGAGGAGGTGGAGGGTGGAAGAGGAGGAGGAGGGGGAGGTGGAGGAGGAGGAGGAGGAGATGGAATAGGACTAAGAGGTGGAGGAGGAGGGTGGAGGGGGGGAGGTAGGTGGAAGGTGGAGGAGGAAGTGGAAGATGGAGCGGCAGGAGATGGGAAGGAAAAGGGCGGAGGAAGGAGAATAGGGGGAAAGCAAAGGTGAAAAAAGAATGAACAGAAGAGGAAGTAAAGTAAAGGAAAAGAGAATAGTAGCAAGAGGAGGGACAAAAGAAGAAAAGAGAATAATAAAAAGCAAGAACGAGAGGGAAGAAATGGAAGATATGAAAAAGGGGAGAGGGAGAGGAGATAAGAGAGAAGGTCATGAAGAGATAGGAGGAGAAGAAGGATGTGATAAAAGGGTACGGAGGAGGAAGTGAAAAAACGAGGATGAGAAGGAGGAAGGGAAGAGAAAGCAGTGGGAGACGAAGAGTAGGAAGACGAATAGGAAAATGGAGGAGGAAGAGGAGGAGAAGAAAGAGGAGGAGGATTAAAAGCAACGAAAAGGAGCCTTAGATATTAACATAACATAATAACATAATAACATAACATAATAATAACGATAGGGATATCTATACATAAGCAAACTACCATAGATAGACACACACACACTCAATGACATATATAGATGTAGATAAATAAATAAATGAATTATATATATATATGTGTGTGTGTGTGTGTGTGTGTGTGTGTGTGTGTGTGTGTGTGTGTGTGTGTGTGTGTGTGTGTGTATTGACTACCTATACGGCATCCATATAAAAGACAATGCTAAATGACCTTAATATCTAGCACATTCATTTATCTTAACTAATAACTATTAACCAGAATAAAACACTATATTTTCTATGTTCTCCCCCCCCCCCAGGGTTCTCGCTACTCTCCTACCACACACTCGCAGGCGTTTTCCTAGCGCCCAAGATCGACTTCACTTGCCGCCCGCCCGCCAACCGCCCGCACGCCCGCACCACGAATGAGTGAGTGACGTCATTCAGGTCCCCGTCAGGAGGGATATTCTTCCCTTTGATATATTGATATATTTATAGAATATGCTTTTCGGTTATGAGTATAGAGGCGGTGGAGAGAGAGAGAGAGAGAGAGAGAGAGAGAGAGAGAGAGAGAGAGAGAGAGAGAGAGAGAGAGAGAGAGAGAGAGAGAGAGAGAAGGAGAGAGAGAGAGAGAGAGAGAGAGAGAAAGGGAGAAGAGGTGACAGTAATGCACGACCCCCCCCCCTCCTCTCCCCTACCCCCTCTTACCCCTCCCCCCCTTCGACCCCGCTCCCCCTCGAGCTTCAAAGCCCCTCCCCCTCCAGTTCCTGCGCTTATTTCGAGGAGGACTCAAGCACAGGCTTCGAGGAGGAGCGGCCGTGCACCGAGTGGGACTTCGACAACTCCACCTTCAGCTCCACCGTCACCTCAGAGGTCTGGTGGCGATGCTTTTGCTCTCTCTCTCTTTTCTTCTTCTCCTTCTTCTTCTTCTTCTGCTTCTTCTTCTTCTTCTTCTGCTTCGTCTCCATCTTCTTCTTCTTGTTTCTCTTTGTGTTTTTATTCTTCCTCTTCCTCTGTTTCAAAATATTCAGCTCCTCTCTTTCTTCTTCTCCTTCTTCTTCTGCTTCGTCTTCTTCTTCTTCTTCTTCTTCTTGTTTTTCTCTTTGTTTTTTATTCTTCTTCCTCCTCCTCCGTTTCAAAATATTCAGATCCTCTTTTTCTTCTCACTCCTGTTTTCGTAATTTTCCTTCCTCCTCTTCTTCGTATTTTCCTTCTCATTTTTTTTCTCCTCCTCCACCGTTGTTTCTTTGTTATTCTTTTTATAATTCTTTATTCGTTGTGTTATTCTTTCTCATTCGTCACTAGAATTTATAATCTGTTTCCTCAGTTCTTCATTTATTTTTCATCTTTTCTTCCTTCCTTCCTTCTTTTTCCTTTTCTTCTTCTCATTAATATTATTTTTTCGTGTTGTTTTTTTCCTTTCGTGTATTTCCTAGGCATTTTTTCCTTTATATTTGTCTCCTTCTTACATCATTTTCTTCTCTGTTTTCTTTTTTCTTCTATTCTGTATCCTACAAGAATCTTTTCTTCTGTTTCTGCTTCTCATTTCGTGTGTTTTGTTAATATCTGTTTAAATATCAACTGCAGTCGTGTTCCTATTACGGTGAGTTTTTTTTTTTTTTTTTTTTTTTTAGTTTTTTTCTTTTTTTTTTAGTTTTTTTTCTTCTTTTATTTATTTATTTATTTATTTATTTATTTTAGTTTTTATATGTCTTCATTATGTTTGTTCTTCTACTCTCTCTCTCTCTCTCTCTCTCTCTCTCTCTCTCTCTCTCTCTCTCTCTCTCTCTCTCTCTCTCTCTCTCTCTCTCTCTCTCTCCTCTCTCTCTCTCTCTCTCTCTCTCTCTCTCTTCTCTCTCTCTCTCTCTCTCTCTCTCTCTCTCTCTCTCTCTCTCTCTCTCTCTCTCACTTTTCCTCTTTCTCTGTTTGTCTATTTATCTGCCTGCCTGTCTATCTCACGTTATCTCCCTTTTACCTTTCCTTCCCCTCCTCCTTCACACCTTTTCCCTCTCTCCTCTCTTTTCTTCCTCTCTCCTCTCCCTCTTTTCACGCTCTCACCACTTTCCCTTCTTCCATTATTCCTCATCTCTCCATTCTCTTATTATCTCTCTTCCTCCCTTCCACTTATTCTCCTTTCCATCTTCTTCATCCCTCGTCCACCCACTTCGTCATTCCACTCTCTCTCACATATCACTCCTTTCACCTATCACTCCAACCTCTCCCATCCACTCTCTATCTATCCTCCACCTTCATTCCACCCATCCACCCGTCTCCACCCTCTCATCCCCGCCCTCTCTTTCCCTTCCTTCATCCACATTCAAATCCCATTCCACCCTATCTATTATCTTTCCCTTTCCACCTATCCCACTCATATCTTCCTTATCCTTCCAGCTTCATTCCACCCTCATCCACAAACCACCTACCCTCATATCCCACCCTCTTCCACCCCAACCCACCCACACCCCTCATTCCACTCCACCTATCCAACTATCCATCCCCATCCACTCCACATACACCAATACCCACCGTCTTTACGCCACGCCCACTTTTCTCCTTTCCCTCCCCCCCCAGTTCGGCCTCGTGTGTGAGAGGGAGTACTTACGGGCCACCTACCAAAGCATCTACATGTTAGGGATCTTCGTGGGAGCTCCTCTCAATGGTATGATGGCAGACAGGTGAGAGAAATCGCGTTTTATAATAGTTCTGCGTTGTGTTCTGAAACTAAGGAGTGTGTTGAGGCGCGAGTGTTGTGAGAGTGTTATGTTTGGAGATATATATATATATATTTATTTTAAGATGAGTGTTTTTGAAATGTGCTCTGGGATGTTGTTTGAGTGAGTTTTTTTTTGACGTGTGGGTTAGATGACTGTTTCGAGATGACTGTTTCGAGATGAGTGCTTTGAGATGAGTGTTTTGATGTGAGTGTTTCTGAGATGTACTTTGGGGTGGGAGCTGTTTTTGAGTGTGAGTGTCTTGAGTTGTGCTTTGAGATGAGCGTTTTGAGTCGTAAGTTTTTGAGGTGTGTTTTAAGTTGTGCTTTAGATGGGATTTGTTTTTGAGATGAGAGTTTTGCAGTGAGAGTGTTGTGAGATGATTGTGTTTAGAAATATGTTTAGAGTTGTGAGTATTTTGAGGTGAGTGCCTCTGGAGATTAGTATTTCGAGATGTGTTTTTAGAGATCTGAGTGTCTAGAATTGTGTTTTGAAAATTAATGCGTCCAGAGATGTATGTTTAGATATTTGCTTTTCTGACATGGATTGTAAATGTCTTAGTATCAACAAAACGTATTGTATAACACAGCGTATTAGAAGTGAGAGCGTTTTGAGATCTGAGTATTTAAAAATGTGAGTATTTAGAGCTGCTAGTGCTTAAAGATGAGTGTGTAGAGATACATGTTCAAAAATGAGAATGTTTAGAAATACGTCTTCTGACATGAGTCTGTTTAGAGAAGTGAGTGTTGAGAGAATGTTGAAAAATTATGTTTGACATTGCGAGTGTTTGATAACGTGTTTGCTCAAAGATGTCTGTGTTGAGAGATAGGTGTTTATAAAGATATGCCTTTAATCGGGGTAAATGTTTGAATTCTGCTTCCAGATTATTTATTCATTTATTCACTAATATATTCATCAATGATTTATTAGTACTAATTCATTCATTTACGCAAGAAAGATTATCTATTCATTGGGATACCATCTATCAGTCTATCAACCTCTATCTTAGTATCATTACATTATCCATAATCACGTTCATCTCCTTCGTTATTTTGTAAAGTTATGATAATAACAATGAAAAATAATAATACATATAGAATTTTTTAAGTTTTGAAATCAAGCAGAAAATTCTTGATTTTTAGTACCGAGAAAGAAAATAGAAAATATAGAAAAAAATACTGTACCATATTTTCGATACTAAAAACAGTAATAACAGTTAACATCATAATAACAACAGTGATATTAACAAAATGATGATACTGAGGATAATGATAGTAAAAACAATAATACAAGAACAAAATCAGTAGCAATAATGATAATAACGATAATATCTATAATAATTATGATACTTATGATACTTATGGAGGTAGTAGCTGTAGTGATAAAAATGATAATATTGGCAATGATGATGAAAATAGTGACAATAAAAATAGCAACAGCAGTAATAATGATGATAATGGGAAGAGCAATGGTAACGATAATAATAATGATTATAGTAATGATATTGATGATAATGATAACAATGATAATATTAATAGAAATGATAATAATAATGAGAGCAATAATGATGACACTAATATTAGTAATACAAATCCATAATAATGATTATGATAATGATATTGATAAATAAAATAATAATGATGATAATGATAATAATAACAATAAAATAATGATAACAATCAAAATAATTATGACAATAATAGCATTAGTAATGATTATAATAGTAATGACATATTATGAATAATAGTAATGATAATAATAATAATAATAACAATAATAATGATAATACTAATACTAATAGTAATAATAATGATAACAACAACAACAACAACAACAATAATAGTAATGATAATTAAAATGATAATGATAATGGTAATGATAATAATAATATTAATAATAACAATGATAATAATAATGATAGTCTTAGTAGTAGTAATAATAATGATAATAATGATATTAGTAATAATGATAATGATGAAGATGAAAAATAATAATGATAATGATAATAAGAGTGATAATAGTAACAGTGATAATAGTAACTATAATAATAAAAATGTGGATAAAGATAATGATGATAAAATAATCACATCAGTAAAAATAATAATGATGATAATGATAATAATAATAATAATAATAATAATAATAATAATGATAATAATAATAATAATAATAATATTATTATTAATAATGATAATAATTATTATAATGAAAATAACAATAACAATAATAATGATGATAATATTGATAATAATAAATAACAACAACAATAAATATCTATAATTGATAAAAATGATGCGAAAAATAAGGATATAAGAACAAATAATGACAATTACAATGAAATAATAATGATGATACCAATAATAATGAAAAGGATGATGAAAATAACATTGATGATGATAATAGAAGTAAATAACGAAAATGACAGAATTAATATCGATGATAAGAATAATAGTATTTATAGAGATAATAACAATAACAATGATATAAGGATAATAATAACGATAATGATAACAATAACAATGATAATAATGTTATCAATAACAATGATAATAATGATATTAATAACAATAACAATAATAATGATACTACTACTGCTACTACTATCAATAATAAAATAATAATAATGATAACAATAATAATGATAATGATAATAATAATAATAATGATAATAATAACAAAACAACAAACAATGATAATGACATGATAATGATAATAATAACGGTAATAATAAAAATAATAACAATGCTAATGAAAAGAAAATAATAATGTTAATAATAGTAATAATAATAATAATAGTAATAATAAAAATGATAGTAACAATATTTTTTTAAAAATATGA